CATTTCCGTCACCTGATCCTCTTAAATCATCTTAACTTTCCAAACCCTATTTATTTATTATTACGTAATCTACCTTATCATTATTTAATTCCATTAATCTCTACAATTATCACACAATTTATGAACTTCACTAAATTATTACACCACCCACCCTGGATTAACCCCCCTCTTTTGACCTCTGACCTGTTTCTAGCATATATATATATAGTTATTATTGTAATCACGTTATTTACACTCATTTATGTCAATTGTTTCACACTATCTCCATGTAAAAATTCTATCACAATTTTGGTTTGTAAGCAGCTGACGAGAAACCTCGAAATAATATGAATTCATACTATTCTGCATCAATGTTTGTTCTTGCTCTATCAGAAGAGTGTTTACCAACGACAAACTCGTTGGGTTTAAACTTCTGGCTGGCCACGTCTTAGGGTCGTCACTGCCCCACCAGGGGGGGAGTGATCTGTAGCGGTAAATAAATCCCTAAAATAAATAGCTCTGTAAGTTTTCGACATTGGATGCTGACCATATGTTTTAGTGGACTCATCTAGCTGAAGGCGCTCGGTCATGCATCCGCACCAGATCACGTGTGGTAACGCCATGCTCAACATCAACCGCAATCGCTAGCCAGATTAGATCAGAGAATTCCGATATATTGGTCATCGCCAAATACACTTTTCCGATCTCCTCGACTCTATCTTTTGATTTCTCTGGGTGGGAACGAAATATATTAAAAGGTGTTACTGGTAGAAGCGTTGTCAAACACTGAATACCTGTGACACCATCAAATGTAACGGTAGTTTATTAACGTCTGAAAAACTATGAGGAAAGTGATACACCATGATCACGCTCTTCTATATTTTAATGTCTGTAAGTTAAAAGCTGAGTGAGATATGAATTTAGTCTGTGTATCTTTTATTTTCACTATTTTAGAAATATTCCGTTTGAAGAAAAGAATTTTCGCGAGTTCTAGGGTAATGAATAAATACAGTGATAATAAGCGAAAATTTAAGGAATTTTATGCCAGTATTTTAGAAAACAGATTGAATGTAATACTATAGTGGTCTTTGAAGCCTAACACACGATTACTGGGAAGAATCATATCTAGTCCAGGCTGGGGATAGAACAATATATTTAATATGAGTAAAAGATATAAGGTAACGTTCAACAGGGAACACGCCTAAAAGGCCGAGCCATGCAATCCAATCAATTCGAATTCATTCAAATCCTTGTTTTCACCTTATCCATCGTGTGGTTTTTCTCCGCGCTAAATGATGAACATCCATTTTCTTTAGTGTCTCGTTTTCAGTATTGATGATTGGGTGGTTAATGCACAATGCCACTAGAACATAACGTATTCCTTTCCACACCAAATACAATATAATATCCTCAGTTCACACGTGTTTCTCGTAAGTTCTGATCACCCTAATGCTGACTTTCACAAGAGGACGAGTCATAGTATGGTCAGTAATGCAACTTTCATTAAGAACTTGTTGATTAGGTAGTCATGACAATTATGCAATTTCGCGTTTAGTTTATTATTCTAGTAACAGAGATAAATACACCTATAACCGACCGAGGCAATGATCTTATCATACGTTATCCAGCTGTGAGACCATACTACGTGAGCTGGATGTTGCTGGTTATAGTCATGTAGTGCATATTCAGTAATTTCCCTGCATTCTGAAGATAACGCTGTCAAAATTTTAATATTCTCCTGGAGTTCTGCTATGGTTAGGTCTACTTGATTTCAATGATATCTACGCTACCATCAAAACATGTAAGCCTTATGACATTTCAGATCGCTATGATCCTATCAATTCGCTGTAAAATGGTTAGGTCGGACATAAAGACGTCATTAATGAGGATGTTTATACTAATCTTAGAAGCCGCAACTTTCCTGTGAACCAGATGGGCAACATATGTTATCATCAAAACATAAATGTAGGCCTGAAGACTTATCAGGTACAGATTTATCCCTGATAGTATTACGGATTATTGAGAGAAAAAAACATACGATCGAATATTTTGTCACCCACTTGGGGACGGAGCAGTCAGAACCTCACAAAGCAGCTTCATTAGACAAACGAGGTCCTTAATCACGTGCCTGTAAGACTTCTTTAGCGATATTTTTCGCATCTGTGACCCGAAGTAATTGGTGATATAGATTTGACTTTTGAAAAAGCAACTCATAATCACTCAATGAACAGGTCGAAGTTCGTCAAAATTGTCAACACCGTTGCGATCGATTATTATTTTTAAACAGATCACAAATAAGCAAAATTCACCTAGCATTACCTATACTCCCTTAATAACCATCGGTGTAGGGAAGTGTTTTCATGTAATTGCTTCTCACAATCTAAATAAACGCTAAAAAATATTTTTAATTTAGAAAAGATCTACTTCAACTCTCTCAGTGTGTCCTCGACCTCTTGAACAAAGTGTGTACGCACTGCAGTACACTGGCAGCACGAAAAAATGAAGAGAAATACATAAAGGACATATTTCAAAAGAACGGCTATCCAATCAACTTCATCAAAAAGCACCAACGGCACACAGCATCAGAACCCGAATCAAACACAAAAATCAACAAAAGGATCACCCTACCGTACATACAAGGAATATCAGAAACCACAACGAGACTGCTGAAAACCTTCGGGATAGGAGTGGCACACAAACCAACAAAATCATTACAATCAATCCTATGCAAACCAAAAGATGAAATAACAAAGGAAAACAAATCAAACATCATCTACAAAATAAATTGTACCAACTGCGACAAACACTACATCGGACAAAGCGGACGCCCCCTCCACTTACGCCTACATGAACACCAATTAGCAGTCAAACGACATGATATCTCTTCACTTATATCAATACATGTGGATAACTACGGACATTCATTCGATTGGGAAAATGTAGAAATCTTAGATAGAGGAAACTCCAAAAACACCAGAGAATTTTTAGAAGCTTGGCACTCAGGTCAATCAGCAATCAACAAACATATTGAAATCAATCCAATTTATCAACCAATCAGGAAAATCATGCATAAATATAGGAACAAAATCAAACCAATGGGAGACACAACCAAAACAAAGAAGTAAACAATGATAAATTTAAGGTCAACAAGAACCAATCAACATCGAGGTGCACAGAACAAGCTGTGAAACACATATGGAGAAATTCGAACACTTCACTTCTATCTGAAGTTTGTGCTGATGATGTCGTTCAGAAGAACGATGAAAGCTCCACGACCAAACCATCCAGCTCAGAGAACAAAACACCAAAAGAATTATCTCATACAACAAATCTATTTATAGCAAGAGAACAATCGAGAAAGGCGCTAGATATTGGAAAACAAGTAGATATTCATCTACACAGACTTCAGTAAAGCATTTGAAAAGGTGTCAATAAATAGACTGCTTTTGAAGCTGGAAAATCTAGACATTACCTGGCCTCCACTATAATGGTTTAAGGATTTCCCGGTAGGTCGTAGAGAGGAAGTCAGAGCAAATTCCAGTGCTCTACCTGTAGACCAGTACTTGGTGGAGTACCTCAAGGTTCTGTCCTAGGTCCTTTATTTTTTATGGTGCATGTGAATGAACTCCAAAGTATAGCTGAGTCGCCAATGTTATTATACGCTAATTACGTAAAAATTTGACGAGAAGTAATAGGAGGCTCAGATGCATGTTCACTTCAGATAGACTCAAATATTGAGATTAGCTTGTCTAAAGAGTAGCTGATGCCTTTTGACGAGGCAACTTGTGTCTACATGCATATTGAGGATCTAAAGGTAAATAGATATGCCAGAGGGCAAAAGTAATTGTCCACATCTCGGTTTCAAAAGGTTCTTGAGGTGACAATAAGTTATGATCTTAACGCCGCGGACCACTTCCGCAACTAAACGGTTTATAACCAATGTACTTTATTCTGGGTATTTACCAAGTAAAATGCTACTATGTTCATTACGGTAAACACAACCTTAGTGAGATCCAAACTTGAAGACTGCGTTCAGGTCATTGTCCACATCTCGGTCTGACAAGGACCTTGTGGTGACAGCGAGTCATGAAATTAAGACCTTGCCCCACTGCCGGAAGTTTACAGCGAAGTAGTTTAGGACCATAAAGATTTTAAGACGGACATCTACAAATCTGGAAACAATCAAGTTCACTACAGTATAAACAATCCTAGTGAGAACAAAGCTTAATAATTGAGTTCTGACTTCAGAACATTGTCTAAAAGGTGGCTCGGACAACCTAAAATATATACAGAGGGCAGCTACCTGTGAAATTCAAGAACTCCGGGTTTACCATACAAAGAGTGGCTTGAAACGCCAGTCCTCTTCACTCTGTCCCAGCGAAAATTAAAGGATGTTCTTATATTAGTGTATAAGATAATAAAAAATGATTTTAGATCTACTATATCACTGCTTTTTCTTCCTTCTAGATCTGGACATCTCAGGGAGCATAGCAGACAAGTAGAAAATACAAGAACGAAAAAATTAACCATGACATACAGGTTTCACACCGATTCATGGATTCCCAGAACCTGTTACCCTAAGCGGTGGTGTCTGCACATTCAATTGGCTCATCCAAGAGAAGATTAGACACTCACAGAAGCATACTAGAAAAGGAATAACAAGCTGTTGGCTTTCTGTTCTTACTAAATAAATCTGAATCTAAAGTTGGAAATTCACTATAACAGGTTAAATTATGCTGATACTAAAGTCAAAAACTTGTATTATTTACCTTACGGAATTATTCGAAAGAAGACACCAAGACTCTTTAGTTTTAGAAATGGTGTTCAGAACAAGCCCGCGTAATAATTTATCAATATCAGGTGCCTAGTCTCAAAAATCAGGCACCTTCCTTGAGGCGTTGATGAATCGTCGTTGTTATATATCGAGAACAATTCACCAAAACCCAATTCGTGAGACATAACTCAAGCTTTCTCCAAGTGTATAGATCGAATTGGATATTGAAAATTTTAAACAAGAAAAAGCAACTTCGAGACATTTAAATTTTTTTTCTGTTTTCGTGCAAATATGCATCGCAGGTTTTTACTCCGAACTCCTTAATACTTGTTCTATTTAGTTTTTCAGTAGAAGAAAATAATGACCACAAGAGAATTATTTTCAACAATGATCATGATGAAGAAAAACCCACCACTGTACCACAAACATTACTTAACGACTCTAATATTTCAGATGTTGAAAAATGTGATAAAAGTTTGTGAGCAGTTTATGTTATAACGCAACTACTCTAGCAGACAATGTCAGTCGTATAGTGGATGCTTTAAGATGTGCACTTGTTAGTTTCGAGTTAGTTGTAACTTGACTCATTTTCTCTGCTTTTAGAAGGCATATACAGGCAGAAAACAGTTGCACGGATGATATTAGGAATCTATGCAATGAAGCTAAATCGTTGCAAGCAAAATTAAGAGACAAAAAATGTTTGATAATAAGTCATTTTCAGAATGTTTTTTCAAATCTTGCTGAGGAAAATTGAAATGATACTTGAACTAACTACGAGTCAAACTCATCTTTTTTCAAAAAATAAATACAAGTTATGCATATTTATGAACCAGGAATTTTTGGCCAGAAAAATTGCTCGTCGAAAGACTGTTAACCTATAGTATAGCAGGAATTTATATTACCAATCGTAAGCATCGATGTGCAAACAAAAACGTTGTGATTACTAAAATCAAAAGCACAACATTTTGTGTCACACTTTTCTATGAGGTGATAACATTTTATTTCAGTTTTAGGGCCTAGTACAAAAAATATCCGTGAAAAATTTACTGATTTGATCACACCATTAAGAGAATTTCATTTGAAGTTTGGAATTCTGAATGAGCTGTATTCGAGCCCAGTGAAAGGAATTCTAGTTGCAGAATCATCAGGTGGGCATTGAGAATTTGTATTTTAAAAATGGCATGCTGAGGTCAAGGTAAATTACTCGTTCGTGAAATGATGAGTAATGTAAAGACTTGTAGTTTAACAACAGCTAATTGTTCAACTTGTTATTTGTAGTAATCTACGTTAAGACTCACGCTTGCATCTCTCTACAGCAGTACTCAAATTTCCGTGTTTATACATGAGTCGAATATTACACAACCAAAATGTATTTAATGCTCCAAATAACTAGAGGTGAAACACAAGAGTGAAAATAGAATATGACGCTAGACAGTTTATTGAGTAATACACAAAACTATTTTTCCTTTCTAATTCTAACTTGTGGATCATAATTATATAGATACTTCAGTTATTTCTATGATGCGAAAAACAGATTATGCACTTCCCTATACATTAAATTTCCTTTCCCGAAAATCTCTAGTTAGGTGCCAGATTTAATCCCATGGCAAAAAACACGTATTTGGTTACAGTTTAAGCATCTGCTTATAGCTGAAATATAGAAGGTAACAGTTAAAGACGAAGGTTGTGTATAGACCTAGAAGTACATATAAGGACTCAAGATAATTGTAGTTTAAGTTTATTTTCATTTATCATACCACTGTTGCCTGATGATTTTGAAGGGTTCACAGTCCGAGACATACTTGTAAAATACAATGAAAGTTTTTGCGAGCAAACTGCAACCAAAAATATCAGCTACTTAAGGCTGATAAATTATATACCAATATTTATTCTGTGGATGTAACGATTTGATAATATTTGGGCTGTCTATTATGTACTATCTTATAACCTGTAGGGATACGAGAGATAAAAAAGCCAAGTGTGTCATTTTCGGAAAATAGAAAGATTACTTGAACTTATGTGCTATTGTCTCGTGAGGCAATAAGAAAAGAGCTTATTTGAGACCTTGACAGAAACATTGAGAATGATCACTTCATAACACAAAGTGTATGTTTTATTACTGAAATATATTGTACATACCATGAAAAACGAATACTTTTCTTCATGAATGAAATATACATATTCAGAACCGTGGCTTTAATGACAATAGATAAATGTTCCCCCTGACAGTATTATTTTCAGAAATAAGGTAGTTGGAAAATATCCATCTTCTTACAAATAAATTGAAAGGGAAATGGCAAGACCGGTAATGTTAAACGATTTAAATACATAACGGAAAATAAATCGACTGAAACAGTTATTAAAAGGCAGTTCATCATGAGTGTAGACCAGTTCTCGTTCCATTCTCATCAGAACCATAACTTGTTGGCTTATGTGATTGGTTAACACGACATAAATTTGGGGTTATTGTTTCAAAACTAAGAAAAAGAAATATATACTATGATTAAATAGTGAGTTCGTTTAAAACAACAGTTTTAAATTTGAAAATAGAAACTCGGTAGATTAAGATAACTAAGCACGAGTAGATTAGCCTCAAAATAGAATCAGTGTGATTGTAGTTACGTTGAAAGAAGTACCGTACAAATCCGCACGAATTTCGTATGCCTCTAAGGCAGAAAATATCTGAATCTCAAAAATAGGTTACATGTCTAACAAACACTGTGTTTTGTTAAAAAGATGAGGAAATTAGTCACTTTGGAGATCAGTAGAACGCCAAAGAAACAATGTGTATTTGTCATCTTTAGATTCCCAGGCTAAAAGATCTATAGTTACTGTGTCACGACAAATAAACTTGTAAAATGGTACGCGAATTGGAGAAATAGTAAAATACTATTTCTTCCAAATGTATAGGAAAAAGTTTTAGGTTCTTAGTCAAAGTTGTCATGACATATTATAAATATAAACGCAATTTACACTTATTGTGTCTACCATAACAGTGATTTTATTTTTAATTAATTATACTGAAAACAATAAACTTACTAAATCTCTCTAATCCCTCTCACGACAAAATATGAGAAAATGATCATTGCTGCAAGGACAGCATAAAACCAAAAATTGGTGACATTATCAGCTGAAAGATATGAATACCACGTACATAATATTAATAAATAGGATTATATAGTGTCTATTATCATTTCCTAAGATATTACTTACTTACGCCTGTTACTCCCAATGGAGCATAGGCCGCTGACCAGCATTCTCCAACCCACTCTGTCCTGGGCTTTCTTTTCTAGTTCCATCCAATTCTTGTTCATTTTTCTCATGTCTATCTCCATTTCCCGGCGTAATGTGTTCTTTGGTCTTCCTCTTATCCTTTGGCCCTGAGTATTCCATGTGAGGGCTTGTCTTGTGACGCAGTTGGGTGCTTTCCTCAATTCGTATCCTATCTACTTCCAGCTCTCCTTCCTGATCTCTTCCTCCACTGGGATCTGGTTTGTTCTCTCCCACAGTAGGTTGTTGCTAATAGTGTCCGGCCAACGGATCTGAAGTATTTTGCGTAGACAACTGTTAATAAACACCTGTATTTTCTGGATGATGGCTTTCGTAGTTCTCCAGGTTTCTGCCCCATACAGTAGAACGGTCTTGACATTTGTATTGAAAATCCTGACCTTGGTGTTGGTTGACAGTTTCCTTGAGTTCCAGATGTTCTTCAGTTGTAAATATGCTGCTCTTGCTTTGCCGATCCGCGCGTTCACATCTGTATCAGGTCCACCCTGTTCATCAATGATGCTGCCCAGATATGTAAAGGATTTTACATCTTCCAAATCTTCTCTGTCAATTGTGATTGGATTGGTGCATTCTGTGTTGTATCGGAGAATCCTTCCCAAGATATACTAACATATTATACACCCTAAAACTACATGGTATGAAATTGAAAACATCCTTTCCCATAAAAGTGCAGTTCCTGATGAATATATCTTCATAAAGTGATATGATTTACTACACAAATGAGCTAAGATTCTGGTTTAAAACACTGCAATTTATAATTTTTTCTAAATTGTGCTGATTGGAACTCCATATACAAGATTAGAGTATTTTGATTATTCGATTGTAATCAATATAATGTTGTTTATTTCCTACTTCTGACCAAATTTTACTTAATAAGTTTCCAGACTAGTTACTAAATCAATTCATTCGAGTACTATTACAAAAATGGGAATCCTGATTCTATCCGAAATTCAAACTTTTATTCAGTAATACTAAATTCAATGATGTTTCAGTCACGCTTATTAACTTAACTTAAAATTCATGAAATATTCTACATATCCTAAACTGTAAGCAGAACCACACAAAATAGTCAAGAATGCAGATACTAAAGTAGACAGAAACTCACAAAACAGAATGGATATTAGTTGAAGTGTGTAATCTTGAATTGGGTGAAAGTAAAAGATAAATACCAATAAAGAGACAATAAATTTAAAAACGGTAGGTAAAGACAAGTAAATAAAATGTTCCAGACTAAGAAAAAAAACAATAACTTGTTTGCAGCAGTATAACTGATTACGAGCCATACATTTTAGTCATTCCGTTAAAGTTAAATAGATTTATCGGTCTGACTACCTTCAGTGTTTACCAAGCTACAATTGATCTAGGTAACAAAACAGTAAGTTAGGTGATGATTTTATACACACTACGAATGTATCAGACACTTCAACCATTGGAAATCCGCAATTTCACTAAGCGACTTAATTCATTTAATGCAAGACGTTTAGAAGTACTCTAGTCCACAGACATGTGATAGGTTTTCAAAAACACTTTATTTACTCCTCGGTGAGTTCTTCAACCCATATATGGCATTAAGAAAAATGCGTAGTAAATATACCCTATAACATACAGTCTTTAAGGCTCAGGTCCAATGAGTTTCCCTTATATTGAGACCGTCGAATTGTATCTTCTCGTTTCCGTAGCTATTTGACTAGTCTCCTAGGTCGCCCATGTCCGAACATTACATATACCTACATTAATTGTTGTTCTGGCTGTTAAAATGGTCATTGGCCTTGTGAAGAATCTCGGCTTTCACCATGAGACGTTATAATTCTTCTGAAAGATCCCTCAAATTCCAGGGCAGAGTTTTAATTATTTATTCTGGCTGGCGTTTTTCTAACAAGCTTGTTTTCTACGGGATGGAGTTGCTGACCACATGCTCAACCCTCCTCGTTTACCCGCGCTTGGGACCGGTAGTAACCCTAGGAGAGCTACGGACAGAGTGGTTACGACATACATTGAGTAAATCATCAAAATGCATCACAAAGCGAGCGCTAACTTGGGATCCTGAAGGAAAAGAGGAAGACCAAGGAACACACTGAACCGGGAATCAGAAGCCGACATCAAAAGTGATTAACTGGAAAGGGTTTCCCGAGACAGGGTTCGAAGGAGAATGCTAGTGGGCGGTTTATGCTTCTCCACGTGAACAGGCGTAATTACAACAAACAATTGTGTTTCATTTAACAGAGGATAAGTTAGCCATAATGAAGTAATGAGCAAAGAGTTCGTTAGACATCAAACGACCACAAGGATTGAGAAAACTAGTGATCCATATAACTAGACACATTTTTCTCTGGTTCAAATAAATTTATTCGGAATATTCAAAGTATGGATGCGTGAAATAGATATAAAACATTGCTTAGTACTTCTAAGTATCGATGATTTTGGAAAGTCGGTTGGAATGCATTGTCAAAAGAAAAACATCTAAAATAGGGGAAGTGGTGTAACAGACAAATATTATTCAGTGTAGTAATTCAAAACGGCCGGTGGTTTTGAACTTGCATCTGACCCCTATTACTCCAGTACAAAACTTTGGTAACAAAATGTCATAAATATACTTATTTGCAGCTTTGTGACACAATTATATGGACGAAAAGTATTGTTTCCAATATACGTAATTACATTATTCTCTCTTACCCAATGTTGACCATATTTATAATGATCAAGTATCTCACAATTCCATTTCATTTATAAACTAGTTCAAGTTAACACTTCATATTTGTCATTCCAACATTAACAATTTGATTTGATTTTACATAACAAACAACTCTTGATTTATATGTTATAATTTTAAATGGTATACTCTGCCTTGGCCAATTTTATGGATTATTAATTTGGATATATAATTGTAGAACCTGATGAGAAATTATTGAAAAGAATATTCCTCATTCATATAATTGTGTTTTGATATAATGGGAACTTTCAAAAATTTTATAAGTAAATTATTGGAACTGGTAACCTACTTTCGTGTTCTTCAGATTTATTACTAAATAAAGTTTTTATGAGTTTACCTTATTACAATATTGTGCCACTAGATAACGCAAACAAAAAGTGTGAACTCAAGAATTGAAGTCACTATCATTTTTATATTATACAGCTTTGTTAAATACACATGAAGATTTATCTTACCAATTTATGAAGAACTAATGAGGTGAGTTTGAAACTAGTCCTTTCGAATCTAAGACTTACAATAAAACGATTATAAGAAAAACGTTTCGAATTACTTACGAGGCAGGTAAAGCACATGAGAGTTTACTTCATCCATTTTTAGTAATTGTCACTAAAATATCGAAGTTGGGAAAGGAAGAAGCTTGATCAACCGCTTCATAACTTATTTAGTCCAATAGACTAAATAGTAGTAGAGGTAACCTTGACAATAATGGCCAATCATAAAAAAGATGAGGTCAGAAAAAATTTATCGCAAGCTGGTCAATAAGTCTATCAAATGTGAGAATCAAGGAATGTACGTAATTCCTGAAAAATTGCCAAATTAATATGTAAGAGACAGTACCGGCTTGGAGGAACCAAAAAATGGCATATCTTATACAAAGACTTACAGACGAATACTTACATGTACAAGCGAAATAAAATGACGTGATTGGATAAGATGGAGCGGAAATAACTGAACTTTAATAACCAATAAAGAAAAACAATGATTAACTTCAGTATCTACTGATATCTTAACCCTAGTACAAATTTTCAATTTAATGAAATTGTCGAGTTATATGACAGATAAGTGTATCTTTTAAAAAAAGAAGGCTAAAATAGCATGGAGATGGTTATATCTGATAATAAATTGAAATTTTCGATTACATAGGTTGATTTTCAAAAATACTGAATGAACAACATAAGATAAGATTTCGAAACCCATTTAACATTCACATTCATCAGTTCTAAGGAAGTGATAACGAAAAATGATAAGATAATCAGTAATGTGTTGGATAAGTCCGATTAAATCAGCCCATCAAAATGTGACATGAAAAATAAAAAGTCGGGGATACATAGTTGACTATATATTTAAATCTTTACATCATTGTATACAAGAAAATAATAATTCCGAAATCAAGTCAGCTTTTGACGCTTCGATTTAGTCAATTTAAGTTTTCTTTTATGTTTTTTCTTCTCGAAGTGACAAGATTGTTGATCTTTATTTTTTCTAAGAAAAGCAAAATTAAAAAAATTAAGATATAGATAGGTTAAGAAACGATATAAAATCTTTTTGACATAATGATCCCCAAAGTGTATCGTTTGAGAGATCAGATATATATAAACTGTGATGAATATTTTCTAATAACATTTAGGATATTTATGCTATTTTGCAGTCAGTGAAAAAGTTCATTTTCATATTCACGTCAGTAAAATTAAATAGAGTAACTTAAAGACCAGTTGAATTTCTTCATTTGTCATAGGGTTCTTCTAATTTCTAAATAAACGGAATACACTTATCGTGACATAAAATAACCAAACAGGATTAACTAAATAAATTCACTTTCAAAGCTATATAGTCGCAAAACAATAAGTCAGAATATATCTGTTAAAAATAATAATAAAAATTTGCTGATCCATGTAACAGAGGGGAATACATAAACACACAAGAATGTTATTCTTAATCAGAAACTCAATAAGCAGTTGTTAAGATCTTGAATATTTTATCCAAAAGATAGATCAAGATTAATAACTGTGAAAGAATTGAATAATACACGAAAACATAAAATGTTGAAGTTGAAACAGTATAAAAACCAGAAGACACGGCATTTACTTTGTAGTGCATATTTTTTAAATTAAATTAAAGAATAACAATAACAAAAAGTTACTAGAACTCGTGGAAATAACTTTTTTTGTCTTTAACAAGAAATACTTTTTATGCTTCTATTAAGGAAGAAAAATGTTTTCGTCACACAATTGATTTAAATGAAAATTGTTCTCAGTAAATCAGTATAAAATATAAGATTTTCAAGGGAATATAAACAAGTCATTAACAAAAGCTTATTACGGAATTATCTAAATATGTTAAATAAGTATCTGGAATTTATAATTAATATCAATCTACCAAAAAGAAATAGCAATAAATCCTAATCAAATTATTTTTGCTATGTAAGAGAAGATTTAAAAGATAATCATAGTGATTGTTCATAGTGAATAAGTCACTGATCCTACAAGCAAAATATATAAATTAATCAATAGGCGGAGTAAATTATTATCTAATCCTATAATAAATAAACTGAGCAAGCCGATCCGAAACCAAAAGAAAGAAACTCGTTTTTTTTCTTGAAGATATAATAACTTCGTTGGAATTTAATGTTTAACACGAACAATTAGATGAAGATGTATGAAACTCATAAGACTGAATCGCATCGATAATGTGAGATTTAATAATGTTATATCATCTCTCAAATTGTCCCAAGTAATTATGCGAAGTATATACGAAACATTAGCATGTTTTAAATGAAGCGACTTCAACTCTACTTTCTGCGAAACTTACTACTTACCGTTTATTGTTAATTTTTTGATTAGATGGTAATTTAACAGTAAGTGAAGAAAGATCAGCTCCATGTCCTACTACAGCTTCAGCCCAATCAGTTTCAGAACCTTGAATTTTGTAAGCAGAGAATAAATTACTTTGGCCGGTAATTTCTTCAGATATTAGTTGATGTACTAAAGTAGATCTACGTTCACGTTCAGAGTCACTGATTTCTGATTTACATTCCAAATGATTATTTGTGTGTTCTGCATTTTTTGAATTACTATCGCTATCATCATCTGAAAGTGAATTTTCATACTCTTCAGACTTGTCTTCGTCAGACTCTGATAAAGTATTTTCATCTACTCTAAGCGCGGCATAATTTCCGTCCTAGAAAAATTCAAATGTGGCGAAAATACAAATTATGGTACACATTCAGTGCATTTATAAATAAATTAAAAACAGAACATTATCCACCTATAATAATAAACAGTAAGTACCGAGAAAAATACATACTTTAAAATCAGAAACATTTGATAGGTTCGATATCTCAAAATACTTGGATATGGCTTAGAATTAGCTTAGTTTAGGTTTTACAGTACGAACACTTACTTTCAGATCCACATCGATGACTGGCTGCAATTGTCCATCGATAGTATTTTTCTTTGATTCTATCCCACATTTCCTCTCAGATGCAAGTATTGAGTCTAACGACTTGATATGCTCACGAACAATAACATACAGAAGACCAAGAATACACTTAGTCCAACCTGAAGTAACACCAGTATCTGGTCCCTTCTTTTTCTGACCAAAAGAATCGATGCTAGAAGTAGATCCAGATGGGTCGCACTTTTCTTTGAGAGAATTTAGTATTGAATATACAGCATCATCAGGCCGTGCAAGTCCAGAAACTCGAATTTGAGGACGAGTAGAATCACCAAGTAGACGACTAAATTCACTGGATATTTGTTCCACTGTTTTATGTTGTAAACCCATACATAATAGGATAACCTACATGGAAAAAATGTTAGACAACTGACATAGTATATACATGAATAAATAAAAACAAAGCTTCAACATGTGATTGTAATAAAACAATGTACAATTAAATTCTTCACATATACCAGAAGTGGGTAGGTTGATGATTATAAGAGTGGACCAAAACAATATTCCACCAACAGCAACAGCAAATTACTACACATAGATCAGTTTTCGTTATCTTTTATTCTTTAATGGGCTAACACAATCCGTTGCGTTTATTACTGACGAATAAAACCAAACACGCTCGTCGAATATCAGTTTTTTTCCGAGAAAATGATATGAAAACAAAACGTCCCTACTGCTATAATAATTCACAATTTTGGTAGCCAGGAGTACACTAGCTGTTGACATATATTTGGATATGTTTATTTAAAGGTTTTATTGTTGTAAGGTTGCTGGCTAAAAAAAATGCACACTTAGTTTACGATAATATTCGTAAAACCCAATAATATTTGTAAAAGTGGAAGTTATTAAATTAATTTCCAAAGGAAATAATTAGTTTTCCGGATATGTTGTACGAGAACTCAGACACCTTCAAAAACAATTTTAATATGTAACATATCTATACAGTATAAACTCAGGTACTCGGCTTCGAGCCACACTTGTTATGTGAGAGTTGTTGATGCTTTAATTATTGGGTTTATAACATAAAAATTTCAGTAAAATAATAAACCCGGTAATTGTAATACTACTTAAACTCCCAATCTGAGCACGATTTCGGCCTGAGATCGTACAAATAAAATGTGATCGCTTTTACCATAAAGCCACTCCCCACTTAATAATCAATCATGCAAAACATAAGACCTGGTATACGCGTACATCGGTTCACATAATAATTAGTTTAACATAAGGAATAATAAGGTGGCAATGTACTTTTGCTATTGTTTTGTGATGATATGAACTACGTATCATTCATAAAATTATTATGAATTTGTAATTATCACTACCAAGGTCTAACTTGATAATTTCAAATAAAAGTACTGGTTATATTGCTGATAATAGAAACAATCGTACATTTGTAAAGTTCCAATGAGTAGAAATTTGCGATTTCTGATATTGCTTATTTAAAGAAGCACATCACGCTAGGTTGCAAAATTTCAGAATTTTCAGAAATATATTTATATTTAAATTAATAAAATCACTATGTTTACCTGTTGAGTTTTATTTAAGCGCACATTTGGCAGACGCCTTTGGAAATAAATCTGAGCTAAACGAGGTAACAGATCGTTGACAAGATGGAAATCAACAAGTGACCTGCTATAACGCCTTAATCTTTCTAAATCCATTGCATTAAATAAGCTGCTAATTTCTGATTGGGTAAGCTCTAATATAGAAAAAGAAGTAATCAATGAAACACTTTTTACCAGTATATTTCGAAGTTGTGCTTGTATTAGCATCATACAAGTATATATAAATAACAGTAAATCTACATCAGTTAGGATCAAATGCTATTATGAATTACGAAGTTGAAGGCGATCGTGCTGTTACCTTCTTTTACTTGCTTCATAAAAGTGGTTGTAACTTCCTTAACTGAAAGAATTCTTTCTGGTTGTACCTTTGCGTTTCCCCTATTATTATTGTTATTATTATTATTATTATTATTATTATTATTATTATTATTATTATTATTATTATTATTATTATTATACAACCAAACACTAATCTGTGGTCGTTATTGTGCTCCCTTTTTTTCTTTCTTACACGCACCTTACATTCTTTTCTCTCTTTCCATCCTCATTGTCATCGTGTGGTGCATAAGCATCTGGTGCCCACTTGTACCAATATTTATGTGATCAAATAAAATAAAATAAAATAAGAATGATCCATCAAAATATAATATACACTTAAAATCTACTCATAGGAAAAAATGAAATTTAGAATAAACGATACAGCTAAGTATTCGATTAATTTCGATAATTTAAGTTGGTTTTAAGCCAAAACTAACTTTATGGACAGGTTTATTATATGTCCTCCATATTGGAAAGTTAAGAGTACAATTGACTGGGTAATGTATCAAGACGAATCGTATCTACTTCAAGCAAACAACCGACAAGGCAAAGAGAATGGAGTTAAAATCAACAGTGCGAACACATCGATGAGAAAGAAAGATCCATGTTAAACAATTATATTAACTTAAAAACTATCAAAAATTCAATCACTGTTTATTTTATAATACGGCAGTGGAATTTCTAAAATTTTAGAATTAAGGTGAACTGATAAAATCAACGATACTCACATAGGCATCATTAAGTTGAAAGATAAAACGTTTCACAGACGTTAATATGGCTAGTCAGAACGCATACAGGACCTAGTATGAATGTGTATCGGCTCAAGTTAAAACATTGGTGAATGAATCTTTAAGGAGGTTGGATAATGTTATAACTAAACACAAAAATAGCCCGAAAGGAATGATAACAAGTTATATATATTCTGAAAGTAATTACATGACTCGTGTCAAATAACGGCCAAGATTAGTATAGTATAGGTAGCAATGCTAAGCGAAAAAGACCGATATATTATATTAGATAAATGAAATAAGGGAATAAAAAGTATGTATACAACTGCATTACAACGATAGGTTTCATATGATTTTTTGAGGTCGTCAGCTATGAATAATTATGGAGTGGGGGAGTGAATAACAGGTTAAGAAGTTCGGCTTTCAGCTAATAAATCACAAGTTTGAACCTCATTCCACTTAGTATGTGAACAATCAGGTAGTTATACTATCTCCTACACTTGGAGTGTGGTTCAAAGACACGATCATGTACCTGGTAAACGAGATAATAAATAACTTGAGTACTAATCATAGTTATCATGCAGACTCCAACTAAACGGTCTGCACGTAGTAACACAGATTAAATTAGCAGTCAATCCTACTTCTCTATTTAGTTTACTCTTAACTATCCTCCAATTTACTTCTATTACAGCCACTACTGTACGTCTAAATAGGATGTAGTTTAGCATATGCACTACATATTCATAATTTTTGAATGTAAACAAAATATCTAATTTTCAACACCATTCGTATGTACTCCAATTTATGTATTCAGTCATAAACGAAAAAAATAGATCTAGTACAACATTATTGACAGAACAGCAACATGCTGTTGTTTCTTATAGATTTCTAAGCGAAAAGTTGCATAATATGTGGTTAATATTTTGAAGGTTAGTCACTATGTTTTCATTATTACAATTTATTTAAAATAATATGGCCGTTTTGGAGATCCTAGGCTTGTTATCACTTGTGGCGACAAACTCTACTTATCAAACATGGGGAACCTAACATCAAATGAATATATATGGACTAGTTTTAAGAGATTAGAAGAATTTTAGGGCATGTAAACTAGATGAAGTTGAAAACTTAACAATTTTAACAAATTACCATTAGATATTGCAGTATCCATTGATTTATGACTAAGGAGTTCAAGACCGTAAGTTCCATCCATATGTCTAAATGGTCCAGGGAAAAGATGTATTAAACGTTTGGTAAAATCTGTATAAAATATAAAATATTAATTATTAATTATATTAGTAGAGTTTATGAAAGGTAGAATATTAGCCAAGGTATAATTAATTTGGACATTAAGCATATGGTAAACAGGAATAATACAGTTAAAATAGACTATGCACCAACTGTAAAAGATCGTCTTAAGATGAATTACGTCGATAACTTTTGCTATACTTTAATTCCTAAAGTTAAACATATATTTCAGAAAGTGAATAAAGGGAAATGTTCGCAGGAATTGACGTAGAGTATGAAAAAGTCATCTTTGAAGTAGTTACTCTAGTACCATTAACAACATAACTGCCGAGCGAAATTTATGCAGAATAAAACACTCTTATAATGAACAGAGAAACAAGCAGGCGCAATTGAACACATCGCTTTATTGTTAGGAAAACTTATGCTGTTCATTAGAACGGAATTTTACACGTTGAATATAGTCAATCGGCCATTTAAAAATGTAGAAACTATCCCAAAAGTGTATCATTTCAAGTTGCCACAACGTACATAAAAACAGCAGAGTAATCAACATGAAAAGTAAAAAAGTGAAAATAATGATACCAACGGTAATAATCAACTGACAATAAAAAATCTAATTTACAAGGACCAAATTTAATACTTAAATGAAGTGAATGGAGTAATAATACGCTAAAAACTTAGTGCATCCGTGTCAGGTGAATTTTGAGCAGTGTCATCTAACTATAAGTTAAGAATATTTCACTCCTTGATTCTGACGTCATCAGTTACCCATTACCCGGCTAACATTAAGAGAGGCGTTTCGAAAATGCATATTTTTGACAGTCCTTATTCTTTTTGTGACTAAATATAAACACAATTGATTTAGGAGTATCTCTAACTGTCTATCTAATTCATTACCTTGATAAAAAAGATACTCAGCAAACAACAATACAAGGAAGAAAACAGATAGCTGACAATGATATATAAATGAATACGGTCAAGAACTAACCATAAAAGTAATTCTGAAGCCATTCTGCCGATTGCGACGAGACACTTTGATGCTTAAATGGTTTCACCATTATGCATGTAAATTCCCCTGTCAGCTCATTCTTTAAAATTAAAAACAAACAAAAATGTCAAGTAATTCCAAGATGTTGCATTCGGACATGTAATACTATTTGTCACAAAATAACTAACATTAAATTACTAAAAGTAAGAGATATTGTAAATCTAGTAAATTCCATATGAATCTTCAAGATTTACGCACATACTACCAGTGGCAGGAATGCTTAATAAGCTGTCAATATTTCAAAGGCAATAACAGAAGCATGAAAATTGGCAATAATTATTTGATGCACCCATTACTACTGAACAATTATAGTTTGTTTTCAATGCAAAAATAATGAAAACAAACAGACCAAATTTGAAGACAGCAATATAACCACATGGAATTAATCTGTTTGATAAGCAAAACCTAATAACAAAATTATACACAAGTGTTCTATGCATGTATTGAAAAACATTAGTTTGGTACATGTGAATATCGTTTACTATTCGCAGTAATGATCAACGCCCTCGATCACATTTTATGATTTATTATCAGTATATAAGATAGTTATATACAACACATAAATTATAGTTTTGACATTTAGGTATAAAAAACCACTTACAGGTACGTATGGATACACTTAATTTCATAAGCACAGAGAAAACAAGCTAAAGGACAATTTTGAATCAGTACTTTGAATTGTGTATACAGCCACAAAGGTCACATTTATTACAGAAAATATCTTTAGATTCAACGTCACAAAAAGATTATATACAAGTGACTTAACTTGGTTATTAGAGGAACTAACATTTTTACTGGAGTTAGGTGTCTATTTCTACTAACGTCAGAGGGGAATCGTAATGGAAAAATGTGCACTTGTACATTCTGTTGTCACATAGACTGAGTAAAATATTATACACAATGAAAGATTTATTTATACATTAAAATGTGACGTGTAACATTATATAAAGAAAAGTGTTAACCATATCGTCAAAATTATATTATCATCAAGTGGAAGAGAATACATGATGTACGTTAGTATACTTTAATTATGTGGAAGGATACTACATATTAGCTAGACATGAGAATATTTTGTGCAGCACAAAACTGATTTTTGTAGAGTATATATATATTCATTATTGATCTAGCCAAAATATTAAGCATTATAATATCTTGCATCAACCTCCACTCGATTATTCTTCGGTGTCGTTACGAAAGATGGTAATGTGAACTAGTCTGCTACCGTCTTAAATCATGTTATTTGTAATTAGTCGACATTGAAGTACTAATTTGAATTAAGTTATCACATGCGAATCTATTAGCTCCACTAAAAACAACCTGTTTGTATATACTACATCCATAAGAATAGCATTTTTCAGTTTCCGATTCGCACTGACATATAATAATCGCACAGAAATCAAAGTAGCATTCTCAACATAACCGAAAAATGACCACAAATTGGCCATTAGAAAACTCTCACCATATTTTGACGAAGATAAACTGGGATGTAACCTGATCGTTTCCAAAATCTTAACAAGCTGGGAGTAGCACCGAAAGAAACACCAATGTAATCAAGTTTCTCAGAAGGACGTTCAATAAGACGACTAAGTAAAGGAGGCAGACTCGTAGGTTCACGCCGTTTGATTATTTCTGTGAGAAGATTTGAATTATTTTCAGATAATCTTGTATTATTAGATTCCAAACTAGCATCTGAGTCATCCTGATTGTCATAGTTCTCTTCATCTAAATCACAGTTAAAACTTAAGGTTGAAGGTTTGAATTTTAAAGATTTATTGGATGTTTGGTTCAAGCTTTTAGTCTCTTCGGTAGAACGATTGCAGCCAACATTTCCAGTTTGGATGTCAGTATGCTGATTTTCTGGAAGAACTTTAATATCCTAAAAAGGAAAAGCAAACAATTTATGGTCAGTAATTAATAGAGCGCGAAGCTTCTCATTCATATAATGAAAGCTCTTACCGTTTGCTCGTTGTAATAGTCATATAAGAGTTTCAACGCTCTTGTCCCATAACCAAGACCTTGATAATCAGGATGAGTAGCTATTCGTACTACACGAACACCAGATAATTCACCAAAGTTGGCATCACAGAACTATAAAACAAAGGATCAATCAAGTACAGTAATTGAGACAAACACACTGCATGGAATAATCAAATGGATGTAATTGAACTTCTGAATTAAATGAATCAACACAATTTATTTGTGCTCTAAAACAAACTACAACTACACTACCTAAAATTTTTCTAGTTAAAACTAAAAAGGATTAGAGACACTGAGCTCAGCCCGTAAAAAAACACAAAGGGGATTCGAATATAACCTACGTAACTGACACAATAACTAAAGTGGAAATTTATTTACTTATAAGCAGATGCTAATAAAATTTGAGAAACACGTTGACTTGTTTAATCTCCTAGTTTAAGGAACATAAAAGCCACAAAAAACTTAGGCTACTGATTGATCCACTGGTATATTATGCACACCATTAACTGAAAATTGAAGAATAAAGCTCATTAACCAAATAAAGTCTGATATTCCAAGCTTTGGTCAGCACCAGCTACTAAGAATATCTATTCCGAACCGCGACCTATTAGCTACAAGTCAAATCCTTTCACTATTATGTTACCCTTCAGTTAATAACAGTTTGACCGATCTTGATTACCTTCCTCCAATCGATAGACACACAGAAATTGAGACATACATAACTCGATTTTATCACTTTACGGCCAAACAACTTACAGTTCAAATTACTTTATTCAATTTTCTGAATTAATGTTAGGATGATGACAAATATAAAAAACGTCTGCGCTACAGAATTTTTTTATAGGCAAAAGTAAAGCTGGAAGTGGAGCTAGTGAACGATTTTACTCTACTAATATTATCATCCGAAAAAATAAACGTCTTTGGGAGAAAAGGTCAAATCACTACTTTTCATGCATCCACCATATAGAGAAAACTGATATAATCTTATACTTAATGGAAGAATACCTGTTGAGATAATGTCCAAGGGATCAAATCACCAGAAGGACGTAAACCACGAGAAAGGTTATGCATCACTCGATCCTTGTTTATTTTCCCCTCTAAAGAAACTTGCAGCACACAAAGAACCTCTGGTACACAGCCAGATTTATGATCATATGGAGCAAGAAGACAAAATATATGATGAGCAGGTGCATCTGAAAGTAGTTGTAAATCATTTGGAGAATTTTTATAATGTGACGAAACATAAAGAGCCATCAGTCTATGTAAAAATATTTCCGTTGACTTGTGATATGAAAACAAAGTATCCCTATTAACATAATACAACTGGCATTGATCAACAGGAGGAAGATAAATATTGACTTCATTAGCTTGTTGTTCACGAGACAGAGACTCTCCACAATCCAAACACAATAAGTCGAATAACCAAGCTTCGATTGGATCGCCACTAGCATAACGAATAGCTTCAGTGAGAGATACTTCAAATAAAACCCGAGAAGTATCAACTGTAAAAGAAGTAAACAGTATAACGGTTTAGAAATTATGATCCAGATTAAAAACACTAAATATCGCTCAGAAGTTAGTGCAAAACATATTATACAACTGGTACGTTATGGACCCCTGTTCACTTACCGAGTATGAAATTCCCAACTATTGATAATAAAATTTAGAATGGGTAATCCATCTGATAAATTTGGATAATGCAATGAGAAGACGAACGTTAACAGAATTGTGATATATTTCGGCAATGCCAAAGGTTGATATCAAGTCATCCTTTGTAGTTTGTACAAGAGTTTTTAAGGGCGTATACTAAGGTTTATTCAAGCCTTGGTTATACAAAAACTGAACCCCATTATATATATATATATATATATATATATATATATATATATATATATATACAATTTGTTTCTACTCTGGTAATACTGATCCATTATTCTGCTTAGTTTTTATACTGTGTACTTTACTATTATTTCTGTTTCCGTTTATCTTCTAATTTGTTTAGTTGACCTTAGATTTTTCGCATACAATGCCTTAACAAGTATATGTGTGATCAGATTGTTCGAAATATATCGCATAATACTGATAATCTTCGTCTTGTCATCACATTATCCAAACTGCTAATAAATCAATCACCTAAAATCTTGATTGGCAAAGATTATCTGCTTAAAGCTTATCATAAAAAATGGTTGTTTTTTCATTTTTGTAGATGAGGCCAATTTCAAAAGTTATATCGTTGAATGGGTTATGTAAGTGAATAAGATAGTGATTCTCAAATAACTTAAAATACAATGTAAGAGCAGCCACTAAATTAATTAACAACAAAACACTTATCAATCGACTGCAATACCTAAATACTGAATTAATCTAGCATTCGACAAAACAAAGCATGCTATGAAGTGTGTCACTATGCGGACATACTTGACGACGGTAAAAAGGATTAACAAAAATTAGTAAAACCATTAGGGTAATGAGTAAAGGAATTAATTAAACATAGAGCGGATAGCTAGAGAAAACCACTTGGGATTTTCTTACAACTACCCTCAACTACATAAGAACTAACAAAGTATATCACGAATTCAGATCAATGAGGTTAGTAACCACGTTAGACACTAGATTATTATAATCCCATCAGAACGAAGACGGAACACAATAGACAGCTTGCATGCAATTCGACGATTCAGGCTTCGCAGATCACCTAGCCCTTCTATCTCATACATACGAACAAATCCAGGCCAAGAAAACCACTGTTACAGAAGCCTCTGCATCAGTAGACCTCAACATACACAAAGGAAAAACCAAGATACTCAAATACAACAAGGAGAACACCAAACCAGTCACACTTGATGGAGAGGCTCTGGATAACATTACCGATGAACCAGGAGGATCGGATGCAGACATAAAGGAGAGGATTGGCAAAGCAAGGACAGCATTCCTACAGTTGAAGAACGTATGGAACTCAAAACAATTGTCAACCAATATCAAAGTCAGATTCTTCAAGCGAAAGTCGAGACAGTTCTACTCTAGGGAGCTGAAACTTGGAGGATTACTACTATCATCATCAAAAATGTACAAACACTTATAAACAATTTTCTACACATGATATTCTTCGTTCGTTGACCGGATACCATTAGCAACAGCTTACTTTGGGAGAGAACAAACCAGTTCCCAACTGAAGGGGAAATTTGGAAAAGGCGTTGGAAGTGGATAAGACATAGATTGCGGAAATCATCAAAATGCATCATGAGACAAGCGCTAACTTGGAATCCTGAAGGGAAGCGGAAAAGAGGAAGGCCAAAGAACACACCGTGTATAGAATCGGCAGCAGATATGAAAAATATGACTAGCAACTGGAAAGGATTACCGAGAACAAGTTTGGATGGAGAGTGCTGGTGGACAGCCTATGCTGCTCTAAGAGGGTTAACAGGCGTAAGTAAGTAACCTAAACGAAGAATGATACGATATTATAGCTATTGGAACAAAGTCACTGGTGATAACTAAGGGATAAGGAGGGGTATTCGAAATTAAGACGAATGTGTAAAGTAAGCACATACATAAACGTGACTGGTTTATCGAAGTTTCAAATCACTCTGAAGACATAAATGGTTGTCAACAAGAGAAGTTAGACAGATGACTCTTTAGTAAACTTTGTGTATTCTGCAGAATTTCGAATAAATAACAGAGGGAATATGTCCAAAACATCCATTTACAGACAAAACAAACTATTGAAAAACAATACAAAGTGTATCTGGAGCCGTTGTCAATACATTCTCTCCACAAGTCCTTTAACTCATCTATCGCGACTAGGATTATCGTTGAAGTATTGATTACAGGTTATGCAATCTATTCATTTGATAGCAAACTATTTGATTACCCACCCAGCTAAGTAATCGAAATCTTCAAATCCAAGTCGAACACCTTCTTCCACATTTTTTCTGGCTATCAACAGCCTTTTCAGTTGCCTCAATTTTACTACTTCATAGTTTAGTAATCCAAAACGATAAATCACTTTGAGGGGATGCTAATTTTGAGTCGTACTGATTAAAATACAGTGCTGAATACCATTTCAGTCTCATTAGTCGTTAAGGATTTTTACGAATAAAATAAACATGCAACGATTACCTGGGTTGAATTACAACAATACTTTAAAAATTTTACCTGATCGAAAACCTTTCCCCAATAACATCTTGTCTTTCCCCGTCGACTGAACAGACTTAGATTTTACATCATCTGTTGACAACTTTGTTGTAGTTCCTGATATGGTGCATTGTGATCGCAGTTGACGCAGTAGTTTAAAGGATAAAGATCGACCAGTGCCTTCGTAACCATTAATAGTAGACGCCATAAATACAATTCTTGGACCACTGATAATGGATTGTACGAGAGGTAGTGGAATGGCAGCAGCTTCGTCTATACATACTAGATCTGCTTGTTTGACACTCGACAGGGCAGCCATTTCCCATGGTGGTAAATAGATAAGAGATTGTCTGTGGCTTCGCCTGTAAACGTCGATTCTAACTGTAGCTTGATTGTGTTCAGGATTCATTGAGCGACTAACAATATAATCCTGGTGCTCTTCATACTGAAAAGCATTTAAACCGTTTACAACAAACTGCATAAGTGTATTTAGGTTTTCCGGACTGGGTGCAGTAACATACAAGTTAGGCAAACCAGTTTCAAAAGCAGCAGCTAATCCAAGTCCCAATGCTGCAGATTTACCCCGGCCTCTACCGGAGGTTACAACAACAAAAGCTGATGAGCTACTAGTTTCCTTAGCTCCAGCTCCAATCGAAGAAAGAAGAGAGTTTGCCGTAGCCAGGGAGGTGGTATCCTGAGTATTTTTATTGCAGCCCTTATTTTGTAACTGCGAAGCTGAAGCCAAAGAAGCACAGAATTGGACAAGACTTTTAGCCTGGTCAAATGTGATACACAACTTTATTAAAGGAGCAAATGGTGAGCCATCTTCAGCTAAGGAGACCTGGAAACAAATAACAGAAATCATGGGGAAAAAAACTTTGAAATGATGCACCTATATCAACCATTCCAAAATACGTAGATAGACTATACTATGTTCATGAATAACGTAGAACTCGTAACAGTCGCAAACCAACCACTGTATGTTTAGTTAAGCTTTTCATTTAAAATCATTTCAAATGAATAAGAGAAGCTAAGAAAATTGAAAGACATACAAGGAAAGGAATAGACAATCTAATGCATTAATGAATCTATTGTACAGTTGCTTAGAGTTGATAAGTTAATAAGAATAAACCTGAAATCATAACCAACAACATTTGGAGTCAGTCAGTCAGTAACAACGTAGAACTTCGTACGTACGTACATCATTCCGAGTTGCCATACCACATTAACACACAAATACAATTGTCGATTCAAATCCCGTAGTGGTAGAGGTGGTAAAAGTATAAGCAGTTATCAGAAAGATCAGGGTTTGAAGATGTTATTCATGGAGTATAATCCAGTGAAATAAATTTGGAAAGAGAAAAAAAGGGAAATGAAGAATTCAGATTAGAATTTGGGAGAACACAACTGGTGGATGCACATGCGCGATGGCTAACGATTTTGAGCCATGTAATTCAAGGTGCCGAATCATCAGATGCTATCGTCTCGCGGATCCCAAACAGGGAGCCTACACATACCAACATGGCATGAACAGAATTTTCAGTAAATGTCGTCATTTTCATTTTATTTGTGTGTGAGCTGTGATACTGCCCGGGTACCCACATCGAAGCAAGCGGTTTTCTTAGAGTCACATCCCGAGTCTTTGACTTAAAAGCCTGACCCACAAGGCAGTGGAGCATCGTGAGGAGATGCAGTCCCCTGGTAGCTGGTGACCAACAATTGGTTTATACGCCATTTGTTCCCTCAATGTACTGGAGCACTGGGTTTCTTCGGGCTCCTTACAACTCATCGAAGCTCGTCGGTCTACTCCGGGTGACCGTGAGTTTGATCATAAACAAAGGCTGTTACGTAATAAAATCGGGCAAAGCTTGCGTAAGGACCGAGAAGCCTGGTGGTCGAAGCGTGCTAATGAGCTGGAAGCAGCAGCTGCATCTGGTAACTACCGGAAGCTCTTCCAACTCATCCAAGCCACTGGCAGCAAGAAGTCTGGTGTGAGCGAAACAATATGCGAGGATGACGGGATGCTAGTCACTAGCACCCATCGACGTCTTGGACGATGGGCAGAATTTTTCGAAGGGCAGTTCGAATGGTCTGTTGCTACGACAGCATCGGTCAGACTGTCCTGCCCTCCATGGCCGATGACGACTGATTCACCAAATGAGGTGGAAGTCTGCAGGGAACTCCAACTCTTGAAGCGCTACAAATCACCAGGCCCAGATGACTTACCTCCGGCTCTTTTTAAAGATGGTGGTGACTTTCTGGTTAAGGAACTGACAACGTTGTTTACAAGAGTCGGGGAACTAGGGCGTGTACTAACGTGATGGAATGAGTCGATAGTTGTCCCTATCTTTAAAAAGGGTTCACGTCGTTCCTGTAACAACTATCGGGGGATAAGTCTACTTCCGATTGCGTTCAAGCTATTGGCTTCCGTCATACTTCGTAGGTTGTTCAAAACCCGAGAAAGATTGACTCGCGAGAAGCAGGGTGGGTTTCGTTCTGGTCGGGGGTGTATTGATCACATCTTCACCCTCCGCCAAATGTTAGGACACCGTCATACTTATCACAGACCAACAATCGTGGTGTTTCTTGACATAAAGGCTGCCTTCGATTCGTTGGACAGCATTGTTCTCTGGGAATGTCTATTGAAGAAGGGTGTACCTGAGAAGTTCATTAACATCTTAAAGGCCCTATATACAAACACCTTTCTTCATTGTTCCACTCAAGCAGTGGGGTTAGACAGGGTTTCCCAATCTCACCATTCCTCTTCAACTTTGCCATTGATGACATTCTGTAAACAGCTCTGATGGATGTAAGTAATGGCGGTGTGGATATGTTGCCTGGCGAAAGACTCCTCGACCTTGAGTATGCGGATGGTATTGTCTTACTGTGCGATAATGCCCAAACCATGCAATCCGCACTTAATCAGTCAGCAATCAATGTCCGTAGGTACGGTATGTGCTTCGCACCTTCGAAGTGCAAAGTACTTCTACAAGACTGGCAGGATTCTAATCCTGTACTCACCCTGGATGGTGAGCAGATAGAAGTAGTCGGGAAGTTCGTGTATCTAGGTAGCTGCATAAGTGCTGGTGGTGGCGTGAGTGATGAGGTTGATTCACGTATAATGAAAGCCAGTGTCTTATGTCAATCTGGGCCACCTTTGGCGCCTTCGTGATGTCAGTTTGGCTGTAAAAGGTCGGATCTACAACGCGTCGGTGAGAGCAGTTCTGCTCTATGCTTGTGAAACCTGGCCTCTCCGGGTTGAGGATGTTAGACGACTCTGTGTTTGATCATCGTTGTCTCTGAAGGATTGCTGACATCCAGTGGCAACACTATGTTAGTAATGCAGAGGTTCGGCATCGTGTGTTCGGGCGCAGAAACGATAATCCAATTGGTGTCACCATCTTGAAACACCGACTTCGGTGGCTTGGACATGTTCTACGAATGTCGTCCCAGAGAATTCCACGTTGTGGATTGTTTGCCGACGCTGGGACTGGTTGGAAAAAACAGAGAGGTGGTCAGTGTGCGACATGGTGTCGGGGTATAAAAGAAAGCTGCAAGGGGCTGACTTCTGTTGGTCCTTCACGACTCCCTGGCTGGGGTCCGAGAGATGGTGAGACACAGTGGCTAGAGACGTTATCAGATATGGCTCATAGTAGAAGCCAATGGCGATCCTGTTGTAACCTTCTTTTACTTTCTTCATAAAAAGTGGTTGTATCTTCCTTAACTGAAAGGATTCTGGTTGTACCTTATTATTATTATTATTATTATTATTATTATTATTATTATTATTATTATTATTATTACACTACCCTACACTAATCTGTGGTCGTTATTGTTCTTTTTTTCCTTATACGCACCATACCTTCTTTTTCTCTTCCCATTCTCATTGTTTTGTGTGGTGCATATATATTTGGTGCCCCTTTGTACCAATATTTGTGTTCAAATAAATAAACCAACATGGCTCAGTCCACTTGTCAGTGACTTCATGAATTTGTGCATTTCGAATATAATTCGATTACATGTTGATTGTATAGTACATAGAAAAACAGAAAATATTGGGGATTCTAAAGTCATATAATTCTAAGATGTCATTGGACAGGAACCGACCATATGTTATGTAATTTAGGACCGTTTGTTTACATATTACGTATTCCATTTCTTTGATAAAACATGCCGTGATTTCTCCAGTTTTTATTATCGCTTAGTTGTAGAATCTTAGATGGAACAATAGATTATCTAGTCACCTGAGTCATCATTTCATATACCGAATAGACAGGTATTCGAAATTCTAACATTTTAATAGTGCTTATTGCAATCGAAATAGTAGGTAATAACCAGTTTTTCACGCTCAGTACATCTTTCAGATAAATATCAACAATGAATTTGCTGTTCACTACCAGTAGATCCCGACTACTCGGTTGAGATCAATGTGGTAAACTCAACCAATGTTTTAAGACCTTAGCTGACATGGCTCGGAATCGTCCACATCAGCATAAATTTGTTAATTGTATATCTTTTCAGTTTTGAATCGAAGCAATCTTCTGCGTATAACTTCCCACTCTGTCGTTTAAAACCATATTCCTAAGATTCAGCCCTTCTTTTCATGATTGCTACTGCATTATATTGGGTAACTTGCAATTCACAATATCGTGCAAACGGGTTACATTTATATACGTACGGCACTATAACTAGACTCAAAAGAATCCCATGACAGTGAATAAAACCAAGTAATCATCTGAACAAGTTCTAAATAACGATTAAAGAACTGTACAAGTGATTATTAAACAAATCATTACTATAGTTTTTCTGTCCTACAAAATCAATATGTGCCAAGCAGTGGACAGATACCTGACTGATTGAAAGATTGCGTGTAAACTAGAATGGATGTTGTACTACGTTGTGGGTTATAACTTACTGGAATAATCCTGCTTCGGTCTGGCACCCGGGCAGTATCACAGCCCACACACAAATATAATGATAATAAAAATGTGTGGCGCATACATATTTGGTGTCTTCTTGTACCAATATTTGTGTTCAAATAAAAATATAAATAATATTGGAATAATGAAAATTAATATTGCATATAAAATGAAGTAAATAGTCGAAAATATGAATTTAAAGAATACTGAATGTCACTATTCACGATCTGATCATTCTAAAGTGGCATTTTAACTTTAATGACATTACTTTAAGCTTTTGGAGTTCCTTCTGTTCTAGAAGAATAGACTCATCACTAATATCAGCCTTCAATGACGTTAGTGAATTGAGAACTTTCCGGGACAATGGTAGGATATTCCATCGATCGTCTAATACAAGACATCGAGGGTTACTAGCCAATGATAGCAAAAACCTTTCGTTAAATCGACCGACAACATTGTGCTGGGATTCAGTGCGATATCGAGAATGGATATCCTGAAAAATTAAGTATAGAACGAAGAACACCATACCATAGCCATAGTGCAAAGCTGTTGTAAAGAAGTCATAGATTTTAACAAAAAAACTATGAGACCTCCACCAGAAACAGTTTCAATAGTCCGAGCAAGTAAGTTTGGTGTCAGAGCTTCGAAATCTTGAAGCACACACATATCGAATGTTTGTCCAAGAATTTTATGTGACTCGTCGTAATAGCACCAACGTATATCTGTCGAGCATACAAATTGCTCAAAAATTGTAGCATCAGATGTCAACCCTGCTTTCCGCCTTTTGCTAAACACATTAGGATTTATTCGTAGACAACATACTTCAAAAGTTTGAGGTTCTTCTTGCGGTGCCTAAGAACATGACAATGAAAAGTAAAGCTTACGTGCTAAAACTCAACTCCTTTTTGTAGCACCACAAAATGCTGAGCCGTCCTTTACTTGAGAGAGAATTTAAAATTTGGTGCATTATGGGGACCTACACACCGATGATTACATTTAATTGTTTTATTTAATTTTGGCTACCTGATCCTGTCCTTTATTCCCAACCATGACAAACATCGACCTATGTTTCCGAAGAATGCCATTTTTAAGCATTATCTGTATCCTATTATCTAACTTGTGCAGCTGACCCATTTTCGACCAACCTTAACAGCAAACAGAGAGGTTCGAAAAGCCGCTGTCATTATTGGTGTATCAAAACAATATCCACATAGATCTAGGCTTTGAATAGAAAACCATCATATTTTTTATTCTCTTGGATTCCACTCTACCAAATGAAGTACTTAAAAATGCAGACAAACTTCCTGTATTATATTTCAAGTGTTAATTATACAGTGTGTAAACTTATACTACAAGAAGTTATTAGTGACTTTAAGCATTTGAGTTTGTCTCCTGCGTCTTACAGGTTTTTCTAACATGAGTTGAAAAAATGAAAAAGACTAGCTCGGTTTAAAATTATTTATGAGTTTCCTGTACATCATAAACAAATCAAAACTTTGTAGTTACTCACATTTATCACGAGAACACGACTGGTTTATTAAGAACAATTATTATTATAACCAACTGTACCAGTGTTTGTTTTAATGTGCCTTTGTTTGACCGTGCTAATGACAGCTATTTTGTGCTTCCATTCTTCTACTTACACTTTGATTGTAACTTCGCGCGAATTCGGTTACGTTCTGTAACCAAGCTTGTATCCTGGCACGATCTCGGTATCCTTTCGATACCACGAGATCGCCAGCAAATATATATCTCTATATGGTCTATTAATTGCCTTCTGGTATTTGGCTTCAAGGAGATTTTATGGGTTTCTTTGGTTACGTTCAACCTACGCCTTCTGATTTATTTGGCACGTGTTTCTTGGTAGCGGTGTTCATAGTTAATCTCAACTCGACACCACGCTACAACTTAAACTACTGTCGGATCTACTGAAATTGTCTCACATCTCAGGAGCCTTGTTATTATTTGAACGTAGTGTCGTAGGAAACGTTTCAACTACACGACTGAAGATTTTACCGTACTTGCCAGCATCAGGTTTGAACTAAAATAATTTTTTTCTAATGTTATTGGTTCCTAAACATACAGTCTTTGAAACTTGGTATATAATTGCTGAGATGATTTACATTGAACACGCAACACTTTGAGAGGATCAAGAATGCTGAATATGGCAACGATGAGCCGAAATGACATGACTCGGTCATGCAGGCGTGTTCACTCTGCATAACATATTGCTTTGTGTTTTTGTTGTGAACGGGGAATTAAGAAGCCCAGACAATTACGAAAGCTATTTTCTTGGGACGTTATTGCATTTCATTCAAACCCTGTAAAACACTTATATTTATTTTTGTCCCTATCTTGTTCTACATAACACGAGCTTTCGTTCTATGTATCATTCACTAGCATACCTTTTTTTGTTCCGAAAATATTGTAATTTAAACATAATATTTTGCACTTCATTTTCTACCCTAATTCCCTGTTTCGGGCATAACTGTATTTTTCCAAATTATCATACGTCGTGGTCAAGATATTCACTTATTTATTCATGTACATTTTTGTACTAATCCGAATTCAGAGAATCCAGAATTCAGTGTTCCAACTGTCTTTTCTTCTTTCACTTGCGTGCTTGCCAACCAACCAGGATTTAGAATAGTTCTCTCTACCCCATCTCGAACTCACACGTATTAGACTCAACGTTAAGCCACTCAGCCTAACGCGTCAAGGTCATAATTTAGGCTAGACAGATCAAGGTCAAGTCATAACAAGTATCACGGGGTAAAAGCGATTCAAGGTCATAACAGTTTTGAACACATTACACTCTACCCAGTCTGATTTGTTCTTCAAAAGTACTAGACGTATTATTGCTGGTTGTCATGATAGGACAAGTCAGTGTAGACCATGATGTGACTTCTAGTAGAGGTTTTATAGATTGGGTGGTCGCATCACAACATATCTGCACTTTGTGACCAAGAGTATTATTATAGTAACAAAGATAAATGTACTTATACACAATTAGTCCACAAAATTACGCTTTCGTAGTCGGTTGGTCTTCGTCCTTGACAAAAATTTCTTAAAAAACGCCATAAAACCAATCTTCAGAAAGACATATTTGTGCTTTTGTTGATAGTCTCAAGTTTAAACGACATAAAGTATATGAAGTTAAACTGTATCTACTTGATCAATTCACCCATGAATCCATCAGGGTGACTTTTAACCGATATTTCTTCAACTACAATACCATATTCATATGCAAAGCAGTATATCAGAGGGGTCCTATTACGATGATTGTTTTCACTATATCGTCTCTACAGCTTAAAAGATAGTTTGTTCTATAGCTTTCCTAATTGGTTCAGCTTGTTACTTACATGGTTTTAACAGAGAGATAAATTTGTAGAAAACGAAGTGCCTCCTTCAAGGTGCATGTCTTTTCGTGAACAGACAACGGCTAGTGGTGAAATTCAGTATTTTGTTGGCGTGGACAGTAACGTCCATCAGTCAGGTTTGTAGCTTATCCAGCACTTCCAAGCGAATAAAAAAACCCGATGCTTTTATATGCACCTAATTTTTTACAAGTAATGTACTTACTGTAACTCTTCTTCTGAAGATATTTCAAGTCTACAATAAGCTAACGAATAAGTTAATTACCAAAGAAATTGCTTTTTGTCTTTGTCTTGTCATTGCCTATCATCAAGAGAGTCGACCTTGAGCCACCAAAAGTATTAGGCCTACGAAGACGGTTTTAAAATAATAATCGCTTCTAGCAAATAAGTGCACCGAAAGCTGTCCGAGAAGAGTCGCGTGATAATTGTGGCGGTAAATTCCTGATATGGATAGTTTTGTACTAATGCTAACCTCATTAGTTTTATGGGACACAATCAAAGATTTTGTGTTATGCAACACTTGCAACTAGTAAATCCCCAAGTTTCCACATTTTGCTGGCCTGTGATTATTGGGAGTACCTGAATTATAGAATAATCTAAGAATCCAAGAAATAACGCAATAACGTTGAAATTATTTAAATTTCAATCGCTAAGAATATTTCAAATATAATTTTCACATATAATGACTACTCTATACTCGGAGCTCAAGTATTATAAGTAGAGATGAATAGTGACACAGAATATATGTATGATAGGATGGACTGATCAATGACAGTACAAAACATCAAAAAGTATATTTCAACAACCAATATCAAAGAACAGAAATACACCACTTGCAAAGGCCAGGGGCTGCCTGAACTTAGTAGCTCAGTGGTTAATGATATGGCTTTTCAAGAGAACGTTATTGGGTTGAAGTACCGGAGTGACTTGCCAAAACTGGGAACGGCCGGTGAAATGTCACCGAGCCATAGCCAAATCATCCGGCAGTTGAGTCACTGAATAACGAACAGATCATCGATCCTCGTCAAGGTCTAGGATAATCAGCGCGCATAACTTGAACGTATGTCATTGACTGGCCCATGGGTTGGTGCTCCCACTATCTTGTCTATACTTATTCTTACTGATATACTTTCGTAATAACGTCCTTTTTTGTATGATCTTCAAAGCATCCATAGCACCTTGATACGACGACGGGATAATCCACGTTAATGGCTGATCACGAGGTGCGATTTCGACGTTAGCTGTCAAGACCCAATCATTCAGCACAGATCAGCTAGTTAATGATCTACAAGTATATCGAGCGGACGAGTCCCATACAGGACGATTCGGACTGCACTGCTAACAAGCATCCATATCTGCGACTGGTGCATTTATGTTAGTTTTTTACGGTGGTGTTAACAACTAAACTAAACTCAGCCACACTGAGGTCGGATGAGAGGTTTTTAACAGGTTTAAACAAGGCATAACTTGATCAAGGGAAGAACTAAATTTACCGATGTCTACCAGTTATCAGAACGCTGAACAGGTTTTTTGAATGACTGTGTCCATGTTCATGACGCAGACACTCTCAAACAAACATAGAAATCAATCTCATTTTTCTTATATATTTCAATTGCTGTTAGGAACGTCACCATGGTTTTATGCATTTGGAAGTTACATATATATTATAAAGTGCATTTACCAAAGTTGTAAAATATTACATATAACATCTATATAGATTTCATCGCGCACGAAAAGTTCTAAATAAATCAAAATTCGGCACAACCTTAATTTTATGCGATACACAGATTAAAAAGGTTAGGAAAGTGACGTTATCCGTAAGATGATAGGGAAACATGTGGTCGCATAGAGTGTATGGATTTCTACATTCATTTATGCACGCACAAACACGGCACGATCTTGCTTGTAAACTGGCATGCATCAAGTAACAAACTGTTATCGGAGAAATATTGTTATCATTATTATTATTATTATTATTATTATTATTATTATTATTATTATTATTATTATTATCATGGTCTATGTAGATCGCTATGGAATCAATCCTTCATTCGGGGCCTACAACACTCGTGAAATCAACAAGTTATAGGGAATCCTTCGAAGATTAGGGTAGGTGTATATTTTATTAAAAAAAATTTTGTCAGAGATGACTATGTTTCTATTGTAGCGGTAAACAAATCTTAAACTAAATAGCTCTGTAAGTTTTCGACATTGGATGCTGACCATATGTTTTAGTGGACTCATCTAGCTGAAGGCGCTCGGTCATGCATCCGCACCAGATCACGTAAGGTAACGCCATGCTCAACATCAACCGCAATCGCTAGCCAGATTAGATCAGAGAATTCCGATATATTGGTCATCGCCAAATATACTCTTCCGATATCCTCGACTCTGTCTTTTGATTTCTCTTGGTGGGAACGAAATACATTAGGTGTTACTGGTAGAAGCGTTGTCAAACACTGAATACCTGTGACATCATCATTGGTGAGACCGTCGCGATCTGGTACACCCAATTGCAACTGTGAGTCTGTTCCTCTTTGGGATTTTTATATATCATTGCCTTATATTTTTTTATTTCTTTTAAACATTGTGATTTTTTTTCGTATTTTCTTCATGAATATATATATTTTCCCCTCGTTCATTATCATACTTCATCATGACTGAACAGACACCTAAAGTACTCAAGCTTAAGACTTTGTCCCCGCCTTCGTTTCAACTCATGCCTTTCTGGCCCGACAACATCGAAGCCTGGTTCTGCTACGCAGAAGCCGACTTCCACGAGCACGGCGTGATCGACACACGTGCACAATT